CTGACCCGGCCCATGGTGGGGACCGGGGGTGGCAGCTCCATCTCCTCCTTTCCAGGATGAAGAGGTTTTGGGGCTGGTCCCATGCCGAGGACACCTTCGAGCTGAGGAGCAAACAGGAGCAGGCACAGGTAGGGACCTCGGTGGGGCCAGCTTTGAGGACCCCCCACCCTGAGCTCCCGGGGTATCCCCCATGGAGGGGGTCCGTGGGGTGCGCTGTGCTGGAGGGCAGCTGGAGGGCACCTCAATGCTGCCCCGGCGCAGGGCTGGGGGATGCGGGTCCGGGCTCACACACCAGCCGGGATCTGGCCCAGCGAGGCTGCTACGTGCTGCCACCACGGCCTTTGCTGTCACTGCTGGGGCTGGGGAAGGGGCAGGAGGGGCAGAGCCTTGTGAGGACCAGAATTACCCCTTGCAGGCTCATCCCAGAGGGGCTTCACAGCACACACGGGTGCTGACCCCTCTGGGAGATGCTCTGGGTGCTCCCCCGGCCCCACGGGCTCCACCGTGGGCAGGGTTTCCCCAGCCAGCCCCCAACCTTTTCCAGGTGGATGGAGCTTCTTAAGCCGGTGGCTCTTTGGCCCAGGAGCAACTGTAGCAGCTGGTGCTGGAAGCGCACAGCCCCAGCCTGGCTGGATCCAGGCAGCCACCACCCTTGGGATAACCCAGCCCTATCTCCATCCCCTCCCAGCCCCCTCTGCCCCTCTCCTGCCCTGCCGTGCCCCTCATCCTTCCCCGCCATGGATGTTGTTCTCACGCCGGGCACGGGCTGTGCTCGCCACTGCGTGTGGTGCACTGCGTGTGCCAGGCACCGGCAAGCTGCGACGGCTCAGAGCTGCTCTCCAGCAGCGAAACCCCAGAAAGAAAAATATCTCCCGGTGACGGTGCAAGCCTGGGGGCAGCCTCTCCATCGCCACCATCCTCCTGTCCCCCCCACCGAAGCCACCACCCCAGGGTGCTGCCCGCTGCGGTGCTACGCGGCCCCCGCGTGCCGAGGCCTCCCTGTGTGCTATTCCTCTGTCTGGAAATAAAACCCGGAGCAACGCGCAGCCGGTGTCTGTTGGGATGAGCTGGGGAGGGTTTTATTGCCCTGCTTTGGGAAGGGTGGAGAGCCGGAGGGAACCAGGCAGCCGAGGGGCTGGGCAGGGCTGGTTTGCCCAGGGATTCCCCCTGTGTTGGTGTGTGATTCCTTCCCTGCTCTCTCCTCCGCGTTATCGCCCAAAGCCGGTCTGCGGCCGCTGCGGAGCAATGGCTTGGTCTGCAGACGGGGCTGTGGGGCAGGTGGGAGATCGGGGACGTGGTGCTCAGAGACAGCCCATGGTCACAGCACCCCATTGTCCTGGCATCTGTCTTGTCAGCCCTTTGGACAGAGAGCAAAGCTGTCCCCAGGCTAAACGCGTCCCCTCGGTGCCTGGGAAGAGGCGGGGGACGAGGAGGAGGAGCCCTGTCCTGTCAGCTCCATGCTGCCGGAGAGGAGCTGGGGCTGGGGGCCGCGGGAGGGCTTCGCTTGCAGAAGTCGCAGCCCCCAGCGAGGAAGGCGGCTGCTGGGCCATGTCCCCTCCCGGCCTGCTGCCATTAGATGTCACTCTGCGGCCACCTCGCCGTGGCCGCCGCCGGACAGGGGCTCGACCGCGGGCGTGCAGCCGGCCAGTGCTTCGGAGCATGGAGCTGGAGCTTCCCGAGCACGGCTCGGGGGCGATGCTCCCCCCTTATGTGTCTGGTTTGCAGCTCCTGTTCGTGCACCGAAGCAACGTGCTGCCATTCCCATGGGCCATGGGAGAGGCAGCCAGCACCCACACCCCAACGCCCTCCTGGTTTTGCCTGTGTCCCCCCCACCCCTCCAGCTCCCTGTGCTCAAACTTACAGATCTACCAGCCATAGTTCTAGCTAATTTCCCTCTTTCGCAGCTCTCGGGATCGCACAGACCCTCATCCTACTCGGGTGCATCCTCCTGCTGCTGCGGCTCCCGGTGCCGTGGCTCCCCGCGCCATGGCTAGCGGGGGGGGGG